CCACGTTAGACGATGTCTCTCCTTATGCTTAAAATTTGTGTTTGCTAAAAATAAGCGATTGTCTGAGCACAGTTGCAGCAAACGGTCACCATTATCTGTTCGCTGTGCCGGAATGCTAAAATATCCACCTAAATGCCTTTCTGTTTGGTTTAAACTACCTATCTGAGCATTAAAGTCACCTGCTACGAGTACTATGTCTGAGCGTTTAGCTTTCTGAAGAAGTTCGGACAGTTTTCTGTAAAATTCATCTTTCACATCATCTGAGCTGCAGTCAGTGGGAGCGTAGGCAGAAACGACAAAAAGGCAACGACGTGTGTCCCTATCCTTCCGAGTTTTTACGGAGCCGTTTAGCCGAACAGCACATAGGCGACTGTTGACGGGGATCCACTCTAGCAGTGCTTGTTCCGCCCTCATGCTTAGTGCTATGCCTACACCTGCCAGTCCACGAGAACTGGCCGTTCGGTCACCAGATACACGAAGGGTGTATCTCGTTGGCTCTCCGTTTTGCCGAGGTGAGGTCAAGTGAATGACCACACTGGAATCCTGTATGTGTGTTTCGGAGGCACAGCATACATCAATGGAAAGAGACGCTAGGGTTTTAGCCAAGGAAGCCTGCTGACCGATTTGACATAGAGTGCGTACGTTGAAAGCTCCAATGTGTAGATTGGCACGAGGTTTCAGTAGACCTGGGACAGAGTTTTGAGCACTAGAATCGTTGGCTATGGTGACACTTGAGGAGGAAGCCGAAGGAGGAGGTTTAGGGTTGAAAGTCGATGTAAGAGGAATAATAGGAATTGAAGAGGAAGGTTGATTATGAATACAGTGGTCTTGCGTGCTGTTAGAGGTATGAGGGCGGTTATCACTTCCCGGTTGCCCACACCGTGGAAGAGTTCTTCTGGAGGTACCTGAAAAGGAAATTGTATTAGAAGTGGTCTCAGTGACCTGAGAGCGTGACCGCAGTGCCCAAGGGACAACTGCTTGAGGCCGGTCGCGCACGGCCTTTTCGTGGGACGTTTTTGACGTGTTAGCTCCGTTCTTCAAAAGGGCCTTACCGCCGGAGACGGAAATCCGTGAGGTAAGGTGAGGTGTGACATTTTTAGGGTCGACCTTTTCTAACCCCACACCTCCTTGTGAGAAGGCAGCATCGCTGTCATGCTGGTTGTCTGAAGGAAACACCTTACTGCTGTCACACCTATGTACAGTCAGCAGTACGACTTCACCTTCGGACTTTGGGTTTGTTGCTTTTAGTCTTACCGCTCTTCAACCTACCTGTCTGACATGGTAGGACCTTGAGGAACGGTTGTTCCAGCCAGTATAGCTCGGTTGCTTCATCACGATAGGCAAGCCCGACCACCACGTCAAGGTAGAAACAACGGTCGGGAATCACACTACGCAGAACCAAATCGACCATATCTGCATCAACAAAAAGTTCAGGAGGACGTGAGAACCAAGAGAGGAGCTGATATAGCCTCAGATCATCACTTGCTGGTCGCCAAGATGAAATTGAAACAATGGGGCGGACAACATCACAAATGTTCAATACGGCCTTTCTTCAGGACAAACTCAACAAATTCAAGATAGTCCTCAGCAATAAGTTCCAGGCCTTTCATGATCTACCCAATGGAGAAGGAACTACTATGGAGAGCAACTGGAAGGGGATCAAAGAGGCAATCACTTCAACATGTCATGAGGTATGGGTCACAAGAAGCACCATCACAAGGAATGCATCACTGTTGATACATTGGATAAAATTCAAGAAAGGAGGAACAAGAAAGCAGAAATCAATACCAGTCGAAAAAAAGCAGAAAAAGCCAAGGCGCAAGCTGAATACACAGAAGTAAACAAGCGAGCGAAGAGGAGCATCAGAACTGACAAACGTAAATATGTAGAAGAACTGAATGACACGACAAAGAAACTCTCTGCAAATCGCCGCAAACCAGAATGACCAGTGAAAAGCAAGGAAGGCAAGGTAATCACCAACATTGAAGAACAACGAAACAGGTGGGTAGAATACTTCAAAGAACTCTTGAATCGACCAGATCCACTGAACCCACCCAATATCGAACCAGCATCCACGGACCTCCCAATCAATGTTGGCCCACCAACAATTGAAGAAATCAGCATGGCCATCAAACAAATCAAGAGTGGCAAAGCAGCAGGACCAGACAACATTCCAGAAGAGGCACTAAAAGCAGAAGTAGCGGCAACTGCAAGGATACTCCACATTCTCTTCAGAAAGATTTCAGATGAGGAACAAGTACCAACAGACTGGAAAGAAGGACTCCTGGTCAAAATACCGAAGAAAGGCGATCTCAGTAAGTGTGATAACTACAGGGGCATCACTGTTCTCTCAATACCGGGAAAAGTCTTCAACAGGGTATTGTTAAACAGAATGAAGGACTGCGTAGACGCCCAACTTCGAGACCAACAGGCAGGATTCCGTAAGGATAGATCGTGTACAGACCAAATCGCAACTCTACGGATCATTGTGGAACAATCAACCGAACGGAATTCATCACTCTACATCAACTTCATTGACTACGAAAAGGCATTTGATAGTGTGGACAGAACAACACTATGGAAACTTCTTCGACACTACGGCATGCCCCAGAAGATAGTCAATATCATACAAAACTCATATGATGGATTACACTGTAACATCGTGCATGGAGGAAAGTTGACAAAGTCGTTCAAAGTGAAGACCGGTGTTAGGAAAGGTTGCTTACTCTCACCCTTTCTCTTTCTCCTGGTGATCGACTGGATCATGAAGACGTCAACATCTGAAGAGAAGCGCGGGATACAATGGACATTTAAGATGCAGTTGGATGATCTAGACTTCGCAGATGATCTGGCCCTTCTATCCCAAACGCAACAACAAATGCAGGAGAAGACGACCTGTGCAGCAGCAGTAGGTCTCAATATACACAAAGGGAAGAGCAGGATTCTCCGATACAACACAGCATACACCAATCCAGTCACAATTGACAAAGAAGATTTGGAAGATGTAAAAACCTTTACATATTTGGGCAGCATCATTGATGAACAAGGTGGATTTGATGCAGATGTGAAGGCGCGGATCGGCAAAGCAAGAGCAGCATATTTACAACTGGAGAACATCTGGAACTCAAAACAACTGTCAACCAACACCAAGGTCAGGATTTTCAATACAAATGTCAAGACAGTTCTAATGTATCGGGCGGAAACCTGGAGAACTACGAAAGCCATCATCCAGAAGATACAGGTTTTTATGAACAGTTGTCTACGCAAAATATTTCGGATCCGTTGGCCGGACACTATTAGCAATGACCAACTGTGGAAAAGAACAAACCAGATCCCAGTGGAGGAAGAAGCGCTGGAAGTGGATAAGACACACATTGAGGAAAGAACCCAACTGCGTCACGAGACAAGCCGTCACATGGAATCCTCAAGGCCAAAGGAAAAGAGGAAGACCAAAGAACACATTACGCCGGGAAATGGAGATAGACATGAGAAAAATGAACAAGAATTGGATGGAACTAGGAAAGAAGGCCCGGGACAGAGTGGGTTGCAGAATGCTGGTCGGCGGACTATGCTCCATTAGGAGTATCAGGCGTAAGTAAATTAAGTAATATAGTGATCTGTAATAAAACAAGAAAAGACAGTTTAATGACGACACAACTTTCTTAAGTTAGTGTGATTGTGCTTTCAACCCATTAACACATGATTGTCGGTTAATGAACAATATGGTACAACTATCACTCATATGACTTTACAGGACATGTAAGAGGTTGCTTAATAGTAATGTAACAAAAAGTAGAACCTCATAGAGGACATATTTTCGGTAAATCAAATGTGGTAACTTTGAATGCTCTTTTAACAGAGGAGAAAAAATTGCTAACTATGCCAGTAGATGGACCGGCCAATTGGATCATTTCTATTAACTTTAGAAATCCAATTGAGGTAATGATTAGGAATTAACTTTACGAAGCGAGAATGACTCATTCAGCATTTAAATGGGTGATTAAACCGTATATTCAAAAATTATCAATAATTGTTTTGAATTTAGCCTATAACATCTGAGTCATGTTTGGACCTTAAAAAAAGACACTAGCAATAAACGGCTTAATTTCTAACACACACGTCACCGTTTGGTTTCTCAGACGAATGTTTTGACTAAAGAACGTGAGAATATTTTTCAAATGATTTCTGTATGAATTTTACGATTGCAAGTCAAAATATTGACCAATGGCCTAAAAGTACGCTTAACTGCCTAGTATGGAGATCATGGGGAACTTCAACACAGCCTTTAATTAGACTGTGAACTATTTCTAATAACATCTCAAGCTGTTTGATTTATAACAAAAAATGTTAGACAAAATATGATCAAATGAGCTTCGTCTTAATAGTTTCTAGTTTAATACTCTAAAAAACTGAGCTGCGAGAACTGCATAATATATACTTCAAGACCCTTGAAATTTTAGGTTACGAGGTTCGACGACATGGATATATAGTACGAAATCAGTACCAGCCACAGGAAAACTCCCTCGACAAGGATGAAATTCATTCACACACCTTGAAAAAGTCGAAAATTGGAATAAAGTGATAGGGTAGGCTAAATAAAAGCCTATGTTCATCACATTTAGACATTGTTGGTCTTATTCGAAAAAGCACCTTAGGGTAACTATTCGTAACACATCACAAAGTATAGAACATCAATAGGCGTGAACGCATATACCGAATCTTGTTGCGTGTATATGTTTCCCATAAGTTTTAAATAAATGACTACTTTATTAACCAAGATATTTTTTAATTGAGGCATGCTGTGATTTTATTTCCACAAACATCAGCACGTAGGATTACTGTCTCACTTTACTTAGATTTCAACAAAATGACAGCAAATAATGTAACCAACTTAACATAGAATTGACAAAAATTGGAACATAGATTTAAATTAATTCGATAATTATGTACAGTATATACTGAAGAAAATAACTATACTTAATATGAAATGATTCAAAAGTTCATTTGTCATAGAGCAAAGCTAACTGTTCATCAGTCAAATTAAACCCTTGTCTTATAATACGTTCTTTCTTCTTTTCTAAATTCATTTTTCTTATCATATATTTCGAGTCCATTTTAATGGATGAGTGATGAAGTCTCACGTCTTTGGGACATTCAACTGCTTTTGAATCACCTGCGCTGAAATGTGTAATTCTTGCAGTATTTGTTTTATTTGGCCATCCAAAACCGAGACGATCGCGTTTTAAAACGGTTGCTACAGGAAAGCGTCGACCTGGTCTGGAAGCACCCAAACCGCCGTTTTTAATGCAGAAATGTGATTTATACTCGTTAGTTGAAATGCCAGCCAGTACTTTCGAAGTCTTCAGTTCTTCATATCCTGGATCGAGGGCAGCATCACGCCAACCTATTCTAGTTAAAAGTTGATAACCTTTATTTGAAGGAGGAATTAACAGCGGCGATGGTTTCGAACTTTTTTCTGACATCTCAGCCATTTGATGACCAATAGATGAAACGTGTTTCTTAAAATCACTAAAAGAGCCACCACATAAGGAACATTTATATAAATTTGAATCAGGTGACGAGTATTCCAACTTTTGAGTTACGCACTGTGTAAGTGATTCATAGAAATATTTTACTTCTTGGCCAGAGAGATTAAGGTCTTTAACTTTTGGAGACGCATCGGTTCTAGTTTCAGGACACCTCAGTGTTCCCGACACAGAACTTCGAACAAAAGTCCGGTTAAGCAAGGTTTTATCCACATTCTGAAATATAAGACAATGTACGTTAATTACTATGAATTAGTGCACATATACATAGAATAAAAGTGGAGATATTGACAGAAATTATCTTTATTTAAAAGATGACAGTAGGTTGAGTTGAAATCATGCAGGAAATTTTGGTCCACCGTTACGATAGTTTCCAGATATGTCGGCTGAGCTAAAGTCCATACCAGGGTTTTCTATTTGTAGTCGCTGAATGGTAATGTTTCGTTCCATTTCATCAAGAACTAGTGGATCCGCCTTCCAGTTATCGGTCATTAAAGAATGCCAACAGGTACCTGGACTAGCTTTGATCAGACACATAACCATCTACAAGATGGAATAAACAATGATAAAATGGGCGTTTAAAATAAGTTTATTCTACTACAATGAACCGTTGTGAAATATTTCTCTCAAAAAAATAAATGTACTTAATATACCAACACAACAAGAATAAGACTTAAAACTTTCAACAAATAGTGTATTTCAAAGTGAAAACTATCATGTGTCAACTTCAACAAGGTTTACTTCTACGTATCTCTATCATCTGTTCGATTGATAATGAAACCAGAAAAGTTTGAACAGAAGGAAGTAAAATACAAATACGGTCATTCAGTACTAAAGTCTGTATTGTTTATCAAAATTTATACATGATATTCTAATAGGCTTTTGTTTTCAGTTGATAAATCTTCCAATGATATAAAAAAGTACTGAAAAATTGATGCAGTTCTATAGTGAATAATATACAACAGTACTAGAAAAATACACTAATTTACTTTATCATACTTCAAAAAAAGCGGTGAAAAATCAGATCACAACCAGTAATCCAACATTTCTCTACAAGTTGTCGGTTTTATACGTAGAATCCTACTTTATCTAATATGCGTTAATTCTGGTTCAAATAAGCAACAAAAAAGGTATGTCCCATACAAATAAGGAAATAGTATTGTGAAGAAATAAAGGGAAGGGAAGTACAATAAAAAAAGATGAGTGATCGAGATTAATGTAGACTAAAAGATATATTTTAGATAACAAGACACTCAAGAAGGACGCTTCAAGCCACTAATTCGCATCATTTCTAGGACACCAACCAAAGTCATGATAAACAGGCAGATGATAAACATAAAGAATTTTATACCAAGGCGCCAAACATAAAATCAAAATCACTACTTCGCCATCCATTTTTGCTGTTATTAAATAAACCAGTGTGGAAGCCACTGGGATCAAGTTCGTAGCACATATACAAAAACAGAGACCGGTGTTTCGAAGTGGTAATACCAATCGAATTATTGTCACTGTACCTGGACACATTGCCGAACCTCAAATTTACTAACATGATGTTCCCACTCAATGTTAGCAGTCCTTCGGATACAATGAGGATTGAAAACAGAGAGTCGTCTAACATCTCTAACACTGAGATGCCAGGTTTTACAAACATAAACCAAAAGTACTCTCACTAACATATTGTAAACTTGTCCTCTAACACCCAGAATGACATCATGACGATACGAAAATGGCTTAGACTTATATAAGCCGTTCTACATTTTACTGTACGCTACCATTGTCAAATGAGTAACTGCGGTCGGCATAGCTTCATTATAATCCCACAGCAATGTAGTATAATCCGTATATTCAGGATAAAGTCTTTCTCCAGGAGACAGATCAGTATCATCACTACTTACTTCCATCGGTACTGCAATCGATGGCGAAGTTGAAGAGTAGTGAAACTGTGAAACCCTGCCTAACCCCACTGGTTGAATGGAACAATGAAGAGAGATGACTATCACCTCGCTGTCTGAGGCATTTGTATACAAAGAATTTAAGACACGCATAAACTTGGGCACAGCCTACTTCAACAGACAATCACAGAACACAGTCTCGTTCAACGAATTGAAGGCGCCCCTAGCATTAAGCAACACAATGATTGTTCGTTTGAAATAAATATTGAGCTGCTCTAACATTTGGGGGAGTGCTATTTTATGATTAGTTCATCCAAGACAAGAACGAAAACAAGCCAGCTCCTGACGAGTTAGCCGTTTGTGGGTTTTGTATTATTTGTCAAGTATGACAGAAACCAATAGTTTGGACGCCGATGAAAGTAGCCTAATACCCCGATAGTTGTCGCACAGATTATCTAGCCTCTTTTCAAATATGGTGACGATGCTCATTTCATTTTAGTGTCAGGACATTCTGTTTCTTGAATTCTTCCAAACAACGCAGTCAGTTCTCTGACCAGAACTTAACTACCATTTTTAAAAGATCCTGGAAGACCATCTGAACCTGATGACTTACGATACTTCGTAATTCGGAGTCCCTCGTTAAGTGCCTCAGTCATCGACGGTCAGGGAGGACAAAACAATTCGATCGACACTGATGGGACAGCATAAATGCTGAACTGTTCGACAAAAAACTCAATCTATCTTTTAAGGCGCTTTTAAATGTTACTAAGTTGTGTATCATTAGCTACACAATTTGCTTCGCTGAAGCCTGGCTGCCCGCTGTGGGTGGCTAGGATAAGGTAAAACAGCTTTCAGTAGTTGGTAAATACAGCTGCAGCTTTCAGCTCACTAGCACACTCGAACTACCATATTTCTATGTCTTTAGGGAAACTTTGCAAAACAACTCGGCATACAATATTCCAGTTTCGGTGTTAACGAAAATTGGTGAATATTAATGCATATATCAACAAGGAGAAAACAAATATCCTCATGAACTAATTAACCACGTTTCAGAACTGATTTACGTAATTAAGAGGCTTCGTCTAATTTCTACACCATTCTTAATGCCTATTCAAGCTCTTAACAACTACATTCTCAATCTCTTAGTAAAGATAACATCTCTGTGCTTTTGTTTAATATGTGAATGCCCTCAAGAAACTACTGTTATAATTGAGTAGCATGTAACCAATTATCGTTGTAGAAAAATATAGATTTGAGAATTTACAGCTCTAAGAATGAAATTGCCGAAAAGAGATCTTCATGCTGAATCAATAAATTTTATTTAACTTACGATGTGGGACGACAGTCAACCTTATAGATTTCTGTTAGTTTGTAGGTCCGAAATCTTTTTCATTTTCCTTAAATATAAATCCATATTACGCAACCTCTTGTTCGACTTTTACGATAACATGTGTTATGAGGGTAGTTCGGGCGATTTTCCCCACACCGTAAGATTATGTATTGCAGTGTATAGTTCAAATAGAGTGATTAAGAATAATAACGGTACTAAATAATTACGGTTAGTAAGTTAGGGTTTACTTTGTTGAGTTTGAAATTTCGTTTGGTGTTACAGAAACTTACGTGCTTTTTTTCATGAAGGCTCCAGGTGGATTCACTTGCCTTTATAAGGCTAAATAAGTTACCTGATAACAATGGCTGCTGACCAACAAAACCACAAGTGATTGTACTATTGGTAATTTTACATACGATTTGCTTCACGTCTACGATTTGTCGGAATGGAATTTCGATAAAAACTTCTTGAATTGTTTGCCACCAGCTCCCCCATTCAAATGAGGCACAAATTAATCCAGATTGTCCTTTTAAATGTGTCTGTAGAAAAAAAATCAATTAGTACATTAAATAGTAAATGACAAAAAGATTAACAAACGTTTAGTAGTAATATGATGAATACGCGCTAGGTATAAAATTAATTGGAAAGTTAAGGCAACTCAGAAACCGACTGGATTCTTACTTGCTCGACTGAGTCATACCTACTATGAGTTTTGTAAAAGGGAAAACTCGCTGTACTGAAACACAGGATATCTTGATTTTGACCATAAGAGTTTACTGAAGGCAGATAGCGCATGAATTTCTCACTGCAGTTATATTTCATTAGCATTTTATCAATATTTACAGATGATAATTATGAACAAACTTCAACAATCGTATCCATCAATTTCAGTGTTAAATTTTACATTTAGTACAAGGTACTTAACATGCCACTTAGCTGGTTAATTAGTCAAAGATAGACGGATATTTTCATGACAAACAGAAGCCTGATGTAACTGTTAATATGATTGATCGGTGAATATACCAAGAAGCTTATTTTAATCAAGTATCTCCAGTGAAAAGCACAGTTACCTAAATCTGGGAATAAGAAATCGGAATTTAACAGAGATTATCGATCAGTACACTAAAAAATTATATCTTTTAATATGTCTATCAATTCACGTAGAAGTTTTCAGTGAGGACTATATCAACAAGTTTCACACCCGAAATTTTTCTTCATGGAATATTACCGGAATCAAGGATGCGTAGAACACAAAATATATGAAATAGATGATAAGATAGAAATTTTTAGTACAAGAATAGTATTTCGTAGGATTTCCGGCGCTCATCCGACCTTTGGATAGTAGAAAATCCTGAGAGTTGAATTTGAGCAGAAGCAGTACAGAGCTGTATAGACCTAATGAGAATGCCCAGTGATATATGACAATTATAAAGTATTGTGACAGTCGAAATTGTCCGATAATTGTCTAGTTATATAATATCCAACCACATTCAATAAAAATTTTAGAGGTTTTTTAAAACAAGATTGAAAGAGTGCACTGGGAATTAGGAACAATGGTTCACCAGCTAAAACACTCGGCCTTCAAAAAATATGTGGTACATATGCAACCTGCCTTACTGATTCAAGTTTGAGTAGATTTATCAATCCTCATAAAGTATAATTTTATCCTATTCACAAATATATATAATGCATTAGAGATGCCGACTTCTTCCAATGTTTCAAAATACCAGGTGCTAACTTGTTGACATTGATTTTGAATCCTATGTTGAGTAGCGGTTACAACAGGTACGTTTCTTTATTTGAAGACTCAGATGTGACCTATATTCTGAATATTGACCTAGGTGCAGTAAGGTAGCGTTTTCTGATCTCTTGAACTAATAAACTCAGGCCATCACAAGAAATCAAATCAACAGTTAGAATATCACTGAATGGTTAACGACTGAAACCCTCCATGCTAATAGGCACCATCCCTATATTTGTACAAGTGTGAAGCAGAGCTTATTAAGGACTAGAATAAATATTTGGAATGCGTTTTCGTAAATAAACCAGAAGATAAAGAGGGAGTGCCATATTCCAGTAGTGCATTGGGGAAATCTTACAATGTTGCTGATGGAAGACGACTGTGACTACTTTAACATTTAAGCGACAGAGACGCTTCTATACAGAGTTAAATTAGTGTAACCACAAAATGAATAGTGTGATTATGAATGAACTGCACGTCATCGAACTACTACATACACTTGAAACTTCCACCCGAATCTTTCAAATATACGTTGGCTAACAACTCTCATCAATGACAAAAGCCAAAGTTGGGTGGTTGTTCTTACTGACAAACTGGATATGAATGGAATTCAAAGTTTCGATAGAACAATGAGAAGACGGAGTTGATCTGAAAAATGTGATGTATTTTCGCTATACATCTTGAACAATCTGGCCACACATATACTTGTCAGGGTATTTTATATCAAACTCCATCTTCTCATTGTTATATTGAAATTTATAAAAGGGACTAATTGCTTTAAATTCTAAGTTGCCAGTACAAGTTTTGCTCATAGGGATTAAAAACGTGTCTTTTTTCGAGTGATGACAACTGTAATGAACAATAAGTTGAGTTTTATGTGTAGCATGTGGACCAATTTACAATTAGGAGTGTAGAAATGCAGTTCCGTGTTGTCCTGACAGAGTTTGAAATCGAAACACATCCATCTATAGAAATGTTTCATTCATCTAATTGCAAACTTCTTTTAAATGTTCTCCCTTGAAACAAACAAGGAATGAAGTACCACTGGGTATTGGCGGTCTCGATTCTAAAGTGGTAAATGAAGACTCGGATAAAACCATAACCATTCCAAGTAGTCACGATATGGCCGTTCCGAGTGATGGGAGATGGACGACAGTGCGGAAACAAAAACCAGGAGAAAGACAAAAACAACGTCCGTCTGATTGATAAATCTTCGGCATACTTCCATTCTGACTCACAGAATACTACGCCAAATTTCCAAAGTGAAACCGGGATTAACCCAAGCGTGACTTGAAAAGGTTTGGTCTCATCGAATATTATTGTGAATAATTTGCCAGAATCAAACGATTCTGATCCAAAAATTAAACACGCCCATGATTTGGAAAAGGTCGAAGTATATATTCGCAGCATCTGAGCAGATAACTCTACAGAACTTAAGATAAAATAATTGGTAAGAAGAAATAAGAGTACCGAGAATTCCGAACTCTAAATGCATAGATCCTCTATGATAAACTTAAGGATGAAGGAACGGCAAAATTCCGTGTTAAATAGTGCCCGAAGTCAAGATAACACCGAAGTTCGAGAAGGATCTAAAATTTCTGTAAGATACAGAATAAGAAGTTTGAACTGGCTGAACTAGAAACTTGTTGATGATACAGTGAGGAAAATCCACGCTTATTAAATTTCCAAGTAGTCAGGTCTTGATAGCGAATGCTCGTAGTTTTTGAAGTAAATTCTATGAACTGGGAGTACTAGTGAGCGCATTAAAGTTACTCATCGTAGCTGAGACCTAAACTTGGTTAGTCTATGACTATGGTGTTACTTCAGAATTATCGAGACATAAACACTTACGAATTGATAGGAATAGAAGCACGAAATTGGACTGGGACCTTATGTACATTAATAACAATATAAATATCCGTTTATTTATTTGCAGATCTCACGAAGATGTGTTTGTGAAGTAACTAGCTATGAACTCCCTTTTGAAGGTTGTAGATCTATGCTCTATGTCATCTATCTTAGACCAATCCGCTCTGCTGATGAATTTTACAACACATTCAGCTATGAAGTAAAAATAACAGATAACTGACATTAGGTTTTAATGAACCTGATATCAACTGGACAGATATGACCACCGTAGTTACTGTAAACTTTTGATAGTAGGCTCCTGATGACTGTAGTGGAGCATGCTTTATACAACACGTATTCGGACCCACACATTTTGGTTCAAACAAAACTCGAACTTAGTAGTCACTCATATAACCAAGGATATTGCCTGTCTAAATATCCTCCCACCGATCATGGTGTTTTGTCACTCGTGTTTAGAGCTTGCGACATAATACACGGTCAGGTTGCCCCCCCCCTCAAATGTGTGGAGAGCAAACACAACAGGCAAACAGAAAAGTGCTGGGAAAATAGCCTAATCAGTAAATATCAGCTTATCAATTAGTGAGATATGGTCTATACTTAGCGGTACACTTGGTTTAGTTACATCTCCGTTTGTATCTTAGTGGACCTTTTAACTCACCACCATGCATAACTAAACAGGTCAAGAAACTGCTTAGACGTAGGAAAAGGCGTTGACGTATGCTTATCCATACAGACTCTGAACAGTACATATTCACTTATTGTAAGACTAGGAACGGTTGCAAGGCGTTGATAAGGCTCGACATTCATATGATACACAATTTGTTAACTGTGAAAACAGTTAGTCAATGTTTCTCTAGCATAGAGATGCGAACTTAGAGAAGTGATGAAATTCCACCAATTTTGGTGAAAAATCCGCTTAGATTAGAAAGAAACGCTGAAGCTTTATCAGAATGTTTTAATAGTGTTTTCTATCGATGATAGTGAAATACTAACAACTAATTAAGATGGCGGCTTGTCGATGGATTCTCTGGTTATTGAGATACGGTTTTTCTTACAATTGCTTCAGATGGTTAGCATCTGGAGTTTCGTTTCTTGCTCAAAGTAGTGAATTACTGGAATTCTCAACCAGGAAATGTAATATCAGCACCTCCGGTTGGTATATTGTAGACAACATTGGGTCTTCACAGTGCTACAAATCGGAAGGATTAACGCAGGTCTATTGACCTATCCTTAGTAATAAACACTAGAGTTGGTATAGACACAATTGTGTCTAAATTAATTCAATCTCGTTAACCTTAACATAATATATTATACCATTACAATGGTATTAATTCCTTACAAAAATTGCATAGAACGTCTTTCCTAATAAGTCCCTTCCTATCAAATATGTTACCGCTGCTTCACAATCCAAGATGGAAAGTGTCTATCTGGGTGGGTGGTTCGGGTCAAATCATTTACCACGACCTTGAGTGACACTATTCAAGGGAGGCATCTCATATGTAGTGACTCACGTTTATCACGAGAACACGACTGGTTTAATAAAAACAATTATTATTACAACCAACTGTACCAGTGTTTGTTTTAATGTGCTTTTGTTTGACTGTGCTAATGACAGCTATTTTGTGCTTCCATTACCTTCCATCATTGTTCCGCGGTTTTTGGTACTGTTCGCACGTACTCCTGTCTTCTGCTTTCGCTTGTACCTTCTCTTGCCACGATCTCGGTATTCGTTCAATACCACGAGATCGCCAACGAAATAAATCTGGTTACGTTCAATCCTCACCTTCTGATTTATCTGGCACGTGTTTCTTGGTAGCGGTGTTCACAGTTGATCTCAACTCGACGCCACGCTACAATTGGTGATCCCAAAGTTTGGAACACGCCGCAACCTCGGGTCAAATCTTCCAAAGAAGTCAATTTGGTGAGTCTATTATTTATCTATCCACGTCTGTCGTATATTTTCATATTAATTTTTAATATATAATATACACGACATGACGGATAGCGAGAAGAATACTATTAATGTTATAGACTCAGACGTACAGGCCATTCATTATCGACCTGTATCATTTATCCCCCACGACCCTGAGGTCTGGTTTGCTTCAATAGAGTCTCAGTTCTAGACTCGTCGCATCACGAGCCAAAGGCAAAAATACGCCTACGCTCTCGAATCGTTATCCGGGGACCATTTAGTAGCTGTTCGTGAGGTCGTCCTCAATTCTAACGTACCTAATGTTTATGACTGCCTCAAGGAGGCAATTCTCCGACATTTCCTCCCATCAAGGGAGGAACGATTGAGGACACTGTTAGCACGTCACCCCCTGGGTGATGCTAAACCAAGCCACCACCTCACGCGCCTGCAATCTGTTGCAGGACCAACAGCAAGTGACTCAGAAATAGTTAAGGAATTGTGGCTAGAGTCACTACCAGCCCATATCCAACCTACTGTGACGGCACTGCTCGAGGACTCACCGCTTAACCAGGTAGCCCTCATAGCAGACAAAATTTTGGCGAGGACTACCAATAGAGACACTTATGTAGTTGCTTCGACGGCACGTCCTAAAGTAGACATGGACGCCGCTCATTCCTCAGCTCATGGTGACAGGGACGGGTGTATTCACACACGTCTTAGTTTTCGAGACCGTTGTAACGTACCCCATCCCTACGTCCCCCGAGCTCGCTCAAGTTCTCGCAAACCCGTCACCACTCGCCCAAAAAGGGCATCTTCCAGGCCACGCCGAAAGGCGGCTACGGAAGCGAGTGACAATTGGTGCTGGTTCCATAGGTCCTTCGGGTCTGGCGCCCGCCGTTGTCGAGCACCATGCTCATACAAGGCGGGAAACGCCGGCGAGTAAAAGCGGCCGTACTCGCCGGCCCTTCACCCCAGGTTGGTCGCCCATTCTATGTGCACGATTATCGCACAAACGCTAGGTTCCTAGTAGACACTGGGGCCCAAGTTTCTGTCGTACCACGAGGTAGCAGCAAAAAAGATGGGGTTAGTTGGAGACCATGCGGCGACTACCGAGCTCTAAACGTAGTTACGCGCTTTGATAGCTACCCCATCCCCCACATACACGACATCACGGCATCGCTCAAGGGCACGACTATCTTTTCTAAGATCGGTCTGGTACGAGCATATCATCAGATCCCAGTCGCTCTTGAAGATATCGAAAAGACCGCTATCACGACTCCTTTCGGTTTGTTTGAGTTCCTACGAATGCCATTTGGATTACGGAATGCTGCTCAAACTTTTCAAAGGTTTATCGATAGCATTGTACGAGACCTCGATTTTGTTCACGTCTATATTGATGACCTGCTAATCGCATCATCAAACGTAGATGAACATTATCAACATCTTACGCTATTATTCCAACGACTTTCGGATAATGGAATAGTAGTTAACCCAGACAAATGCGAGTTAGGTAAACGAGAAATCATATTTCTGGGTCATGTTATCAAGCAAGAGGGTATTTTACCTTGTGAGGACAAAGTGCAAGCAATAAAGGAGTACAACGAGCCGTCCTCACTCAAGGAACTGAAGGCTTTTCTCGGTTTGGTTAACTTCTACCGTCGTTTCATCCCACACGCGGCAGAACGGTTACGACCACTAACCGACTTATTACGCGGCAACCCACGTAGATTGGAAATGAACGATTCTGCACGTACTGCATTCACTGAAATCAAAACGGCTCTTGCACAAGCCACTCTTCTCGCCCATCACGATCCATCAGCCACGCTTAGTATAGCGGTTGATGCATCCGATGTCGCTATAGGAGCAGTCATGCAACAAAACATCTCCGGTAGTTGGCAACCTCTCGAGTTTTTCTCACGACGCCTTACTACCACAGAGACGAGATATAGCGCTTTTGGTCGCGAGCTGCTAGCAGCCTACTGCGCCATCAAACATTTTCGGCACGCAGTAGAAGGACGTCAATTCATTTTATTCACCGACCATAAGCCCTTAACGTATGCTTTGCATACCAAGTCTGACCGCAACTCACCACGAGAGTGCAGACATTTGGACTATATCTCTCAGTTCACGACAGATCTTCGTCACATCCAAGGCAAGTCGAACTGTGTTGCCGATGCTCTATCACGAATCCAAATGAATGCAGTTACCCTGCCGGTGCTTGATCTTCCTGCTATGGCCGCTGCCCAAGCAAACGATCCCAGCTGTACAGAAGCACCACACTCTACGTCCCTTCAGTATCAGGAAGTACCTCTGGCCACGACTTCTGGCACCATTCTATGTGATACTTCTACCGGTCTTCCTCGACCCATCGTACCCTCTGCTTATCACCGTCTCGTATTCGATGCCCTGCATGGATTATCTCACCCAGGTATCGCAGCTACATTACGCCTCATCGCTGCACGATACGTCTGGCCGTCCATGAATAAAGATGTTCGTATATGGGCTAAGCAATGCTTACAATGTCAACGATCAAAAGTGCACAGGCACGTAGTTGCCCCCCTCGGTACATTCGCTACGCCTGATGCTCGCTTCGATGACGTTCACTTAGACATTGTAGGACCACTGCCACCATCGCACGGGTATGATCACATACTCACGTGCATCGACCGCTTCACCAGATGGCCCGAAGCTATACCCATCACGTCTATCACGGCGGAGACAGTTGCTCACCGCTTCGTAGAACGATGGGTAGCTCTATATGGTTGTCCCTCGACCGTCACGACTGACCGAGGACAACAATTTGAGTCCGCACTATTCTCCTCACTTACTCGGCTGCTTGGTACGGAACGAATACGCACTACCGCCTACCATCCAGCTTCAAACGGTTTAGTTGAAAGGTTTCACCGGCAACTTAAAAGTGCTCTTCGAGCACACGAAAACGACGACTGGTACGAAACCTTACCGCTCGTTCTTTTAGGTATCAGAACGAGTTTAAAGGCAGATATCCAATGTTCCGCCGCTGAACTTGTATACGGCACGACATTGCGTCTGCCCGGGGAATTCTTCACACCACGGAGCAGACCTAATTTCGCTAAATCAGACTACGTCCAACGACTGTCTGCATTTATGCGAACGCTGCCTCCGGTGTCAACTCGAATACAACATCGACAGGTCGCTCTCCCTCGAGAGTTATCTACCTGTTCACATGTTTTTGTACGAGTAGATTCGGTACGCAAACCTTTACAACAACCTTACGAAGGCCCTTTTCGCGTGATCGCTCGTCACGAAAAGACCTTCAAGGTTGATCGACACGGCCGCGTCGAGATCGTCAGCATTGATCGTCTCAAACCAGCACACGTCGATGACAGTGCCCTATCTGACAACCTGAGATTCAATGCTAGACCTAGCAAACCTACTAGCGGGATCCTCAAATCATCTACAGGTCCCACGCTAGATACATCTGAGACCTCATTCTCACGTCCCAGTCAACAGCACGCGTCATCTGCACCGTCTACGGACGAGACAACAGTCTCACGTCCAGATCAGCAGACCACGCCGCCCTTGACTTCGGATGAGATTGCAGGCTCACGCGACGCGAACGAGACTGCCGTCTCACGTTCCGGTCGCCGAGTACGGTTACCCGTACGCTTCCGCGAATAGTCGCACAGTCAACTACCGATACGGTGTAGGATTATTCCTATACTACACGTATGCTACACTCTTCTTTTTTTGATTTTCTTTTTGTTTTCTGAGCCCACGCCTTCGACCATCTCCGTTTGGTTCCGTCGACTTCAGTCAACTTTGGCGAAAGCTGGCCTGATCACCCATGCTCTTGTCAACGCACTCAGTCGATATATTGGTTTCGAACGCTTGGCGCACGCTTGGTCACGAACTTGGTCGTAACGGTCGCTTCTGGTCTTTCGGCTCAACATGGTTTCGTCCTACGTCTGCAGCGTTTCTGGTGCGCACCTCTACGAACGCCCTCTTCAGATTCTGGATACAAACCACTCTGGTGTAGCATGCCAACTCAAGCAATAAATACAACACATCGCTCCTGGTACCGTTCTCCGATAACGACCTTCGTTGGCAACTCGACGATCAACGATCGCTTTCCTGTTCGCCAATTCTTCCGTCCTACAATCGCTCATCAGCCGATCAGTCCCACGATTCAAACCGCTATTTATCGAAAGTGTAAACCCTTTCTAGCGGGGGCTCCTGTAGTGACTCACGTTTATCACGAGAACACGACTGGTTTAATAAAAACAATTATTATTACAACCAACTGTACCAGTGTTTGTTTTAATGTGCTTTTGTTTGACTGTGCTAATGACAGCTATTTTGTGCTTCCATTACCTTCCATCATTGTTCCGCGGTTTTTGGTACTGTTCGCACGTACTCCTGTCTTCTGCTTTCGCTTGTACCTTCTCTTGCCACGATCTCGGTATTCGTTCAATACCACGAGATCGCCAACGAAATAAATCTGGTTACGTTCAATCCTCACCTTCTGATTTATCTGGCACGTGTTTCTTGGTAGCGGTGTTCACAGTTGATCTCAACTCGACGCCACGCTACAATTGGTGATCCCAAAGTTTGGAACACGCCGCAACCTCGGGTCAAATCTTCCAAAGAAGTCAATTTGGTGAGTCTATTATTTATCTATCCACGTCTGTCGTATATTTTCATATTAATTTTTAATATATAATATACACGACATGACGGATAGCGAGAAGAATACTATTAATGTTATAGACTCAGACGTACAGGCCATTCATTATCGACCTGTATCATTTATCCCCCACGACCCTGAGGTCTGGTTTGCTTCAATAGAGTCTCAGTTCTAGACTCGTCGCATCACGAGCCAAAGGCAAAAATACGCCTACGCTCTCGAATCGTTATCCGGGGACCATTTAGTAGCTGTTCGTGAGGTCGTCCTCAATTCTAACGTACCTAATGTTTATGACTGCCTCAAGGAGGCAATTCTCCGACATTTCCTCCCATCAAGGGAGGAACGATTGAGGACACTGTTAGCACGTCACCCCCTGGGTGATGCTAAACCAAGCCACCACCTCACGCGCCTGCAATCTGTTGCAGGACCAACAGCAAGTGACTCAGAAATAGTTAAGGAATTGTGGCTAGAGTCACTACCAGCCCATATCCAACCTACTGTGACGGCACTGCTCGAGGACTCACCGCTTAACCAGGTAGCCCTCATAGCAGACAAAATTTTGGCGAGGACTACCAATAGAGACACTTATGTAGTTGCTTCGACGGCACGTCCTAAAGTAGACATGGACGCCGCTCATTCCTCAGCTCATGGTGACAGGGACGGGTGTATTCACACACGTCTTAGTTTTCGAGACCGTTGTAACGTACCCCATCCCTACGTCCCCCGAGCTCGCTCAAGTTCTCGCAAACCCGTCACCACTCGCCCAAAAAGGGCATCTTCCAGGCCACGCCGAAAGGCGGCTACGGAAGCGAGTGACAATTGGTGCTGGTTCCATAGGTCCTTCGGGTCTGGCGCCCGCCGTTGTCGAGCACCATGCTCATACAAGGCGGGAAACGCCGGCGAGTAAAAGCGGCCGTACTCGCCGGCCCTTCACCCCAGGTTGGTCGCCCATTCTATGTGCACGATTATCGCACAAACGCTAGGTTCCTAGTAGACACTGGGGCCCAAGTTTCTGTCGTACCACGAGGTAGCAGCAAAAAAGATGGGGTTAGTTGGAGACCATGCGGCGACTACCGAGCTCTAAACGTAGTTACGCGCTTTGATAGCTACCCCATCCCCCACATACACGACATCACGGCATCGCTCAAGGGCACGACTATCTTTTCTAAGATCGGTCTGGTACGAGCATATCATCAGATCCCAGTCGCTCTTGAAGATATCGAAAAGACCGCTATCACGACTCCTTTCGGTTTGTTTGAGTTCCTACGAATGCCATTTGGATTACGGAATGCTGCTCAAACTTTTCAAAGGTTTATCGATAGCATTGTACGAGACCTCGATTTTGTTCACGTCTATATTGATGACCTGCTAATCGCATCATCAAACGTAGATGAACATTATCAACATCTTACGCTATTATTCCAACGACTTTCGGATAATGGAATAGTAGTTAACCCAGACAAATGCGAGTTAGGTAAACGAGAAATCATATTTCTGGGTCATGTTATCAAGCAAGAGGGTATTTTACCTTGTGAGGACAAAGTGCAAGCAATAAAGGAGTACAACGAGCCGTCCTCACTCAAGGAACTGAAGGCTTTTCTCGGTTTGGTTAACTTCTACCGTCGTTTCATCCCACACGCGGCAGAACGGTTACGACCACTAACCGACTTATTACGCGGCAACCCACGTAGATTGGAAATGAACGATTCTGCACGTACTGCATTCACTGAAATCAAAACGGCTCTTGCACAAGCCACTCTTCTCGCCCATCACGATCCATCAGCCACGCTTAGTATAGCGGTTGATGCATCCGATGTCGCTATAGGAGCAGTCATGCAACAAAACATCTCCGGTAGTTGGCAACCTCTCGAGTTTTTCTCACGACGCCTTACTACCACAGAGACGAGATATAGCGCTTTTGGTCGCGAGCTGCTAGCAGCCTACTGCGCCATCAAACATTTTCGGCACGCAGTAGAAGGACGTCAATTCATTTTATTCACCGACCATAAGCCCTTAACGTATGCTTTGCATACCAAGTCTGACCGCAACTCACCACGAGAGTGCAGACATTTGGACTATATCTCTCAGTTCACGACAGATCTTCGTCACATCCAAGGCAAGTCGAACTGTGTTGCCGATGCTCTATCACGAATCCAAATGAATGCAGTTACCCTGCCGGTGCTTGATCTTCCTGCTATGGCCGCTGCCCAAGCAAACGATCCCAGCTGTACAGAAGCACCACACTCTACGTCCCTTCAGTATCAGGAAGTACCTCTGGCCACGACTTCTGGCACCATTCTATGTGATACTTCTACCGGTCTTCCTCGACCCATCGTACCCTCTGCTTATCACCGTCTCGTATTCGATGCCCTGCATGGATTATCTCACCCAGGTATCGCAGCTACATTACGCCTCATCGCTGCACGATACGTCTGGCCGTCCATGAATAAAGATGTTCGTATATGGGCTAAGCAATGCTTACAATGTCAACGATCAAAAGTGCACAGGCACGTAGTTGCCCCCCTCGGTACATTCGCTACGCCTGATGCTCGCTTCGATGACGTTCACTTAGACATTGTAGGACCACTGCCACCATCGCACGGGTATGATCACATACTCACGTGCATCGACCGCTTCACCAGATGGCCCGAAGCTATACCCATCACGTCTATCACGGCGGAGACAGTTGCTCACCGCTTCGTAGAACGATGGGTAGCTCTATATGGTTGTCCCTCGACCGTCACGACTGACCGAGGACAACAATTTGAGTCCGCACTATTCTCCTCACTTACTCGGCTGCTTGGTACGGAACGAATACGCACTACCGCCTACCATCCAGCTTCAAACGGTTTAGTTGAAAGGTTTCACCGGCAACTTAAAAGTGCTCTTCGAGCACACGAAAACGACGACTGGTACGAAACCTTACCGCTCGTTCTTTTAGGTATCAGAACGAGTTTAAAGGCAGATATCCAATGTTCCGCCGCTGAACTTGTATACGGCACGACATTGCGTCTGCCCGGGGAATTCTTCACACCACGGAGCAGACCTAATTTCGCTAAATCAGACTACGTCCAACGACTGTCTGCATTTATGCGAACGCTGCCTCCGGTGTCAACTCGAATACAACATCGACAGGTCGCTCTCCCTCGAGAGTTATCTACCTGTTCACATGTTTTTGTACGAGTAGATTCGGTACGCAAACCTTTACAACAACCTTACGAAGGCCCTTTTCGCGTGATCGCTCGTCACGAAAAGACCTTCAAGGTTGATCGACACGGCCGCGTCGAGATCGTCAGCATTGATCGTCTCAAACCAGCACACGTCGATGACAGTGCCCTATCTGACAACCTGAGATTCAATGCTAGACCTAGCAAACCTACTAGCGGGATCCTCAAATCATCTACAGGTCCCACGCTAGATACATCTGAGACCTCATTCTCACGTCCCAGTCAACAGCACGCGTCATCTGCACCGTCTACGGACGAGACAACAGTCTCACGTCCAGATCAGCAGACCACGCCGCCCTTGACTTCGGATGAGATTGCAGGCTCACGCGACGCGAACGAGACTGCCGTCTCACGTTCCGGTCGCCGAGTACGGTTACCCGTACGCTTCCGCGAATAGTCGCACAGTCAACTACCGATACGGTGTAGGATTATTCCTATACTACACGTATGCTACACTCTTCTTTTTTTGATTTTCTTTTTGTTTTCTGAGCCCACGCCTTCGACCATCTCCGTTTGGTTCCGTCGACTTCAGTCAACTTTGGCGAAAGCTGGCCTGATCACCCATGCTCTTGTCAACGCACTCAGTCGATATATTGGTTTCGAACGCTTGGCGCACGCTTGGTCACGAACTTGGTCGTAACGGTCGCTTCTGGTCTTTCGGCTCAACATGGTTTCGTCCTACGTCTGCAGCGTTTCTGGTGCGCACCTCTACGAACGCCCTCTTCAGATTCTGGATACAAACCACTCTGGTGTAGCATGCCAACTCAAGCAATAAATACAACACATCGCTCCTGGTACCGTTCTCCGATAACGACCTTCGTTGGCAACTCGACGATCAACGATCGCTTTCCTGTTCGCCAATTCTTCCGTCCTACAATCGCTCATCAGCCGATCAGTCCCACGATTCAAACCGCTATTTATCGAAAGTGTAAACCCTTTCTAGCGGGGGCTCCTGTAGTGACTCACGTTTATCACGAGAACACGACTGGTTTAATAAAAACAATTATTATTACAACCAACTGTACCAGTGTTTGTTTTAATGTGCTTTTGTTTGACTGTGCTAATGACAGCTATTTTGTGCTTCCATTACCTTCCATCATTGTTCCGCGGTTTTTGGTACTGTTCGCACGTACTCCTGTCTTCTGCTTTCGCTTGTACCTTCTCTTGCCACGATCTCGGTATTCGTTCAATACCACGAGATCGCCAACGAAATAAATCTGGTTACGTTCAATCCTCGCCTTCTGATTTATCTGGCACGCTACACATATTTGAAGTGCTCAAGGGTAGTCGAGAATGGGTTAGCTTGCATAAGATCTTGGTTTCCGTATAATTATGTAGTATGTTGACGTCTAAAAACCCAGAACTAGCCGTTTAAAGTTATTTCAGGTGTATTATCTTCTTTATTTAGTCCAAATATTGTTGTTGTTGAGTAATTTTCTCATGGACGGCCGCCGTTGTATCCGCTCCGTTAAAGATTGTGTTCGGTTTAAAAAATAACTTGATATTAGTACTTACTTACTTACTTACTTACGCCTGTTACTCCCAATGGAGCATAGGCCGCTGACCAGCATTCTCCAACCCACTCTGTCCTGGGCCTTC